TCGTTGCATTTACACTCTTATCTTGACGCACTTTGGCGCTGACTTCCAACGTGGACCGTGGAGGTGCGTGGGTCACTAATGTGCAAAAGTCAAGGCCGGGATCTCGATATCTTATTACATAGCCGTTTCAATTTGTATGCACATACATTCCATCGAAGGCATTTCATATGTTATAACAAACCTTCTGAGTTGCTTGACATATTGTCAATCTTGTACCAATCTTATCATCAAGACGTTTTGACAAGGAACTAGACATATCAACATGTTACGGTTGCAGACAATGCACTTTTTGCACACTTCGCAGCTGAGATTGAGCCACAACTGCCACAAACAGCATTGACATGTCCCATGTTGCTGCTTCAACTTCAATGTTCACAAGCTTAAAATCCGACCAAGTTGAACGCAAAAAGTCTAGCATCATAGCAGCTCTCTCTAATGCCGTGGCCTCTAGACTTGAGACTTTAGAATTCTTGCAAACCAAGGATTCCTGATTTTAATTTTTTATGGAAACAATATGAAAATAATATGATTTGCAAATATGAAAAAAATATGCCGGAAATATGGTTTCGGGCAGATTCGTATTGTTTTCATATTCGCTCCCTAATCATTTTAGATAAAAAATATGAAAAAAATATGAAAAAAATATGAAAAATATGAAAAAATATGAAAAAATATGAAAAAGATACGGTTTGCCTCTGGATCTAGGTTCCTGGTCCCGACACGACAAAATTATATTTCGGAGCATATTTACTTCATATTTTTTGTATATTTTTGTATATTTTTATGTATTTTTATGTATTTTTTATGTGTTTTTATGTATTGTTTATGTCTTTTTGTTGTATTTTCCATATTTTCCGTATTTTCCGTATATTGTGTGGTATTATTTCCATATTCTCTTTTCATTTAAATCAACCATATTAGACTCATATCTTCACCTTATTAGAAATCTGGTGTAAATTAAGACGGAATCGTATTACAATACATGTTAAGTCACAATCGACTGCAAATCATATTAAAATCATATCAAAGCCATGTTCAAAATCATCTTGGAACCATATTTTCATATCGAAATCTTATCGAACGCAGGCTTGAGATCTTGTGAATATTGAAATACAACCTTGCAAATCACATCACAACGTGACGAAATGATACAATCATAACTTTTACACGATCGAACCACATGCCACATCGGAATATGCACATGTCGTGCATGTGTCTGTGCGTGCGTGTGCGGTATGTGTGCGGCACGTGCTTCATTCCTGGTCCTAATGATTACTCCCATGTCTAAAGTGTGCGCGGCTGATCATGACAAGCACCCTCATAGACCGAACCTACAGTGCCTACAGAAAAGCTACACGGATTCGCTTGTAATATTGCAATCGATTCGCCGATTCATCATTGACATCATTCACCGACCATTCGCAACGATTCTGATCTGATTCCATAACCAGCTGTACGATGTCAAAGCACGATGATACATTTGCCACAGCTGCACCACATGCGCAAGTACAAATGAATGCGCGAATGAGTGGAGTGGTGGTGTGAGTGGAATGACTGGAGTGAGTGAGTGAGTAAATGAGCGAGCGAGCGAGGGAGCGAGTGAGTGAATGAGTGAATGAGTGAATTAGAGAACGCATGAGCGAATGTGTGGGTGATTCACTGAGTGGGTGAGTGCGCGAGTGATTGAGTGAATCAGTGGGGAAGTGTGTAAGTTTCCAGTCGAGGGTGAGGGTAGCCTGCTAGCAGCTAGCAGCAGCCAGCAGCCAGCAACTACCAACTTTGGTTGTTGGTGTCTGTAGACAGCAGCACCCTGACAGTGCAGAACTCACTTCAGGAAGAAAACCTAAGGACCTAAGGCTCTGGGCCCAGCCCGGGTGGGAAGCTGCTGTGCATGCTGGTTCCATTGGAGCCGCTCACCGACAAGAGTCGCATCCAGTTGGAGGTGCAGGACAGTCGTGGTTCCAGCAATGCCGGCATAACAAACTTTTTGATGCCCTTTGCGGCAACGTGAATGGCAAGAACGATAGCAGATAGCCAGCCCAACGGCGACAAGCATAAACCCAACCCGGATAGCTCGGATAGCAGGATAGCAAGCAGGAAAGAATAATAAGAGTGGGCAATTGAGGCCATGCAGCCGATGAAGGCGACGAAAGGATGAAGAGAGCAGTTTATCCGTGCTTTGGGTCACGGGCGAGATTGTGAGCTCCGAAAGCGTGCCACGGCTGTCCCCCGCTTCCCCCAAAGTGCCGGTTTCCCCTCTGTCTGAGGACCCTTACGATCCTGCGCCCTTCCCTGTCGTGCCCGAGTATGATGTTTCCCACACCCAATCATTCAAAAACCCACACTCGCTCATCCGCTTGCTCATTGTTTCATTCGCCTACTCGTGGTATGGAAAAATGGAACCAATTGAAAAATTGAGCGACAAACGAACATGTGACATGCGTACCAAACCTACGACCTACTATATTTACTATATTGAGAGGAAAGACAAGTTCAAGGGGACCGTCAATGACGAGTCCGTGAGTCAATGATTGTTTACATGTGCAATATAATATGACATAGTGAGTATGAGTACATCGTTCTCACTCGGTTACACTCGTTCACTCGCTCACTGACAATCCTACGCACGTATACTATAATAGTAAACCAATGGGGGCAACGCGAATCATCGAACTTGGGGGCATCCGTGCTCACACTGATCATGGCATTGAAAGCTTTTGGACGGGGAACCAGAGATGCCAACATGAAACTTGAATTGTTCCTTGGGCAGGAGCATTCTGTCTTTTGACTCGGTCCACTGTGTTGCGAGTATGGCTGGTATAAGTATATATAGTCTTGCAACACTGGAGCATCCATAGGGCACACAATGGTCACAGCACAAAACGCACTAAAACCTTGCTGCTACTACTTTACTACTGAACTACTGAATGGCTTTTTGGATGGCCAATCGCCACCGGTCATCTGTCTGAGAATGCTGCTGGAGCACGCGCAGGGCAACACAAGAACCACAACCACGTTATCTGCGTACTGCTGGTTACGAAATGCGAAACCATGCGACTGATATGGCATGATGTTGCTGCTCAAAGACACTAGGAATGGAAAACGCACCCCGCAGCTCTAACAGCTTGCATTCTGCTCTGAAGAAAAGGCCTGGAAGTGGTCTGCACGAACGGCTAAGGCCGAATGAGCATGCCCGGCCACATAGTAGCTAACATGATGCACTGACTTAGTGCCCATGGCCCCGAGTCCAGCTAGAGTCTAGAGTCTAGAGCACATGGAAACGTAGAAACATTGTCTCGCAGCGCGATGGCTAGATCACACTCACTAGCCGCACTAGCCATCGAACCAGCATAGGCATAAGCGTCAGCTGCATTAGCAGAATTACCCAGCCTAAGCAATGGCGAGCCAATGGTGCCCTAGGCCCTAGGCTCTGGCCCGACATGAAGCGAAAACGACGGAAGTTAAAAAAGCCGCTGCCCAGAATGCCCTCATGACACTCCATGATGACACGTGAAGTCATGACTCTGTCAGTCAGCTGACAGCATGGCCCACAGCTCACACATTTCACGAGGGTGTCAACAGGTTACATCTTGGTTTGGGACAACTCCGCCATTAGGCTCCAAACTTCAGGTTTCAATCCGAAAACCGGCCAGCATCAGCCACATCAATGAATCGGCACGGGTGAGTCCAGCTTTGCTCATGGAAATCAACGAAACTCTGCATAAGTACATAACTCATAGTCACTGTCATACTCATATTCTCGTTACTGGTGCAGTCTGAACCTTCCGGATCAAATCACAAAGCTCACTGGATCACTGGATTCAGCCGATGATTTGCCTTGCCTTCTCCAAAATCTGTGGAAGAATGCTCTCTTCATTGACGACATTGCCTGCGATATCCCCCAACTGCGCACGGATCACATCGCGCGCCCATTTCTGGGTCGCCGGATCCTCAAGCTGCACCTGCTGGATTGCGAGCACGAGCAGCACTTCAGCCTTGAAGGCTTTGCCACTCTCGAGGCTCTTGAAAGACATCGGCAGGTGGTTCACGAACAGGTCGTGTATCTTGCAGTCACAGTCCTTGATCTTGTTCCGGAAGCCCTTGGCAGCTTTGATCACCTGCCATGCAACACTCCAGGGCCTGGACCTTAAACTCGATATAAACTCATTCAGACTCTATACTCTATACACAAGCTCGGGGCAACAGCTGTGGAGTAACTCTTCTGCAAGGTTTTCAGTGGGAGAAACTCAAGCGATGGTCATGTTTAAACTTACTTACTGGTCTATTTCACAGACTTCTATTCTACACAGAAGTTTGCCCGATAAACAGGAAGGCAATCTGATCAGCTCGGCAGCTACTTCAACTTTTGCAGTCACAGACTCTCTATCAGAATCAAATCATGAGCCCAAGACATCATCGTTAAACCATGGCCTCTGCGAGGCCGGAAAGTGCACCTTCCACAGCCACCCCATCCGTGTTGGTCAGCTCGGTCTTCGCGGTATTCATGCAGTCCTCGAAGCGGCTGGACGCATTCAAGTCGCGATTCCAGCCATCAGCAGCAGCCAGGTGCAGGCCGTTCGTTGCTTTGTTGATCTTCGCCTGGGCTTGCTCCAGCATGCGGATGTAGCAGGAGCACCGGAAGAGAAGCGTATCCACGAACACCGGGCTCTCCACATGCTGTCGGCCTGCTCCTGACCAATCATAGTACAGAATGTGCAAGGGCGACACATTGTTGCCATACTCCTCTGCTGCCAAGCCCTGCCGGAAGATGCTCGCCTTGTTGACAGCTGCCACTGCCGAATTGCCGGTCCTGAGCAACTGGTTCAGGACCTTGCAGTCTGTGTCCGCGGCCTCTCGCTGCTGGGGATCACGACCTTTGTTTTCGAACTCCAGAACAACATTCGAGTACTCTGAAAGAATCCCCGCAAGCTCGATGGACTCTTGCATCCACTGCACGAAGTTCTCCGACCAGACCTCACGGAGCTCCCGAGAGCCGACACGCTTCTCAAGAATCTCCAACAACTTGGACATGTTCTCAAGCAGCCGCTCTGGCATGGAGATCCGGGACACCTGAACCAGACAAAACCTGACATAGACATAGACATAGAACCAAACAGACAGGATCCTTGACGCTCAATGTTCGGACCAAACCTAACTAATTCATGGTGGCCTAGACCTAGTTACCTAGTTTCAGCTACAATACCAGTCACTCCCAGAAATGAATGTAGCGGAAACTCCAGAACATCGCGTTGTCGAAAAGGAGCAGGACCGGCTTGTCGATGTCGAAATCCTTGGCCTGCGTCACGGTGTCAACCAGGTTCTGCAAGGTGTTCTGCAGCCCCGACGGAAGGTCACCTTGTCGGTCCGCAGGGAAAGTCTTCAGGATGATGATCACCTCACGGGCTGCGAGGGTGCTCGCCGATGACTTGCAATAGCTGTCAAGCTTCTGCATCAGCTGCAGCACTCCGCAAGTATCCTTGGACAGGGCCAAGCAAGACTCAACCTGCCGGATAAAGCCCAGGGTCACATCGGGCCGCTCGTTGTTCAAGATGCCTTTGGCCAGCAGGATGACCTTCTTCAGGTAAAGCTTCTCGAAGGCAGCCGTCGACCCCGATCTCATTTCCTTCCGAAGCACCGGCAGGAGCTCAAGGAGCTTGGACATGGCTTCCTGTCATGGATAAGCACAAGCCCAAAAAAATCTTGCAAAATCTCCAACAAGTATTTGTTCGACTGTGTAACATGGGATACGGCTGGTCAAGCTTGAAGAAACAGGTCTTCCGTTTCATTCTATTCAATACGCGATAAGCCTGAAAGCGAGGGTAGGAAAAGCGTATCACATCGGACACGGCCGATAGAGATAAGGATAATAGATGCCAGATCGCACATGGCGGCGGATAGCAGACAGCCCACAGTGCTACATGTTCTTTTGGCAAAGGAATACACTAAGGACTCCCTGGGACATTAGAATAGAGTCTTTAATAGAGCCAAATAAAATGAAAGTACATGGCAACGATTTGCATACACTGTGACTAGACTCACTAGACTGGTCTGGGAGGACTGATTCTCCAAATAAAAACTATCTAAGCTGCAGTTTCTGACTCCTGACGTGTGCCCCGTGGTGAGTGGTCGATGGTGTTAAAAGTCGGTGTTCACTAAGGGTCCTAACCCAAAAGCACTGCGGCACACTTTTCCTTGCACCGCACTGGTGTGCCTGGGTCCTTGAGCCTTCCGGCGAAAGCACGGCTCAAGTGGTTCCTATACACTTCAGCTGTGTGAAAACACTGTGTTCCTACTTGGCAGTAATGTTTAACACCCCGCCTTCGAAACTAGGGAATGACTTTCCTAAGTCAGAGCTCGTTTCGAAACTCTTTCCCTGCCAAAACAAACTGCAAAACAAGTTCCTTTGTCAACTGCGCAGACATGCGACTGTCCACTTGCGTTCCTCTCCAAGGTCGCTGTTACTGTACAAGGGTTCCTTTACAAGTCACAAAGACAAAACAAAAGTAAGTGAGTTGTTCCTTGGATCGTCGTCCTTTAGCACGCAAAACAACTACGCTGCTACTGCGAAGGTCGGACGGATACACCATCC